CCGCACCCCACTGTGTCTTCTGTTTATCGATTTCAAAAAGGCCTTTGACACAGTGGAGCATGAGAGTGTATACAACGCCATGCGCGAGTGCGGTATCCCCGAGCCCTATATTAGAATCACGCTGCATTGCAACACGGGCTATTATACCGATATCAAACTCATAAAAACACCGGTCCGTGTTCAAATCCGGCGCGGCGTCAGACAAGGCGAGGTTACGTCCCCGAACTTGTTCGCTACTGCGCTCGAGAACATCATGAGGCGAATCTCGTTGCCCGGAGGAGTGAACATCGACTTCGTTTGCTTAACGCATCTCCTCTTCGCTGATGAGTGTGTTCTGATAGACGAGGACCCCACCGACATTGCGCAATCCCTGAGCCTCATCAGGCAGGAAGCCGGCAAAATCGGACTACAAATTCATCCCGGCAAGACTCAGTGGAGGCACAAAGAACAGTTCAGTACCAGCCGACTTCCATAAGAAGGCCAGGAGGATTGGCGAGTCTCGCTCTGTGACGTATCGTTTCTCGGAAAGGGTCAAGCGATGAATCGACTCACGCTCGGCGATTAGCCGACGCCGCAACAGACGGGCTGGACGCGTTCATACCTTGGAGATGTACTAACTTCTAAGCACGTCGACCCCCGGGTCAAAGCTCACGTCTTCAACTCACATGTTCTTCCCGCGATGACCTACGGGGCGGAGACGTGGAGCACCACAGTCTCTGAAGAGGAGAAACTCGCAGTCACTCAGCGAGCCATGGAGAGGGCCATGTGCGGGGTAACGCTCCGAGACCGAATACCCAATGACACCATCCGCGCTTGTACGATGGTGAAGGACGTCGTCGATGCCATCTATAATTCCAAGCGGAGGTGGGCCGGTCATGTGGCTAGACTTACCGATGATCGCTTGATCAGTTGTGGCGCAGAAGAGCCCGAAGCAGGGCGACCTGGAAGATGTGCGACCTGCGTTTCTGGCGTGCCCGGGACGAATAGCGGTCGAGAACTAAGAAGTAAGAAGTAAGTAACAAATTTTTCCGTTGATGCCTACTGGCCCGAGATACCTTTATACTTTTGAAACAGGGGAGACTTTCAAATTTTCCTAAAACCGTTCTTAGCTTATAGTGGTTTCTACAACAGAGTTTGCTATAGTTTTAGAGCGTGCTGTATTCAATAAATTATTTATCAAACCACGGAAGCTTTATTCTAAGTTGGAACAGCTGCATTCAAGAGTGGCTTAATACAGGGTGTCCCATAGATATTGCACCAAATTTTGCTCAAATTCTATAGGTGTTCAAAGCTGTTCTTCTGAGATTAGCAGACCTTTAAATCCTCTATCCTTTTTTCAATGACCATGCCAAATTCCACAGCTTAGCGTTCGGTCTGCATCTCATGGTGCGCCCAAACTTCAACAGAGTGCCCAACCTCTCGCACAGCTAGGTCGGACATCCGGTGATGCATCGCGGTTCTCTGGATTTTCAACCGCTCCGTGGCCAACCGTGTACTATTGAAAAGCCCAACTGAAGTAGTCTTTGTTATGGCCGCCCCACAGTTCTGGAACTTGGATCTTGGGAAAAGCATTAAGAAGCAAAACGGCTGCAATACCCGGGTTGGCTCGAGAAAGGTGACCAGAACGCTGGAGTTCATTAACACAGCCATGTGGAGAGTGGTCGGATAACAACTGCTTACAGTCCATGATACGTTGCATAAGCACCTTTGCTCAATCAAACGGGAGCAGCACAGCAGAGACAAAAAGTTCAAAGGGCTGGTGGAGAGGGCCGAAACTGGGGATTATGCGGGCAACGTTTTCTTCGACGAAAAAGTTCCTCTCATGGAGCGGAGCTACAATCCTCAAAATTCAAGGATGTCCGCATGACGTCTTGAGGAATTTAGTGAGAGTGAGAGGATAATCCGCCACAAGCAGCACCCGAACCTTTTCATGGTCTGGACAGGGGTAATAACTACCGGCCGCTCGCCATCAGTGCCTGTTTATAAAGCAATACAACTTGATACTAGATCGAGCCAAGGGACATTCCCGTGCACCATCTGTTACTGAGGTATCTAACCACTTTGAAGAGGGGTGATGATCCTTCCAATAGACCCAGGTTCTGCATAAGAGGCAAAAATTGTTCAGGAGCGCTGTTAAAGCACTCTTTCCAATTTCACAACCTCAAACGAATGGCTCTCCTATCTGTTGATTTCAACGGGCTGGACCATCCTTTGTGGGCTATGTTATACGGCTGAGCCTGCGTTAAATATTGCATTCACATGGATAAGCTGGAGTCTTTTTCTCAGCAAAGTTTTGAAGGGGAGACCCCAGGATGCCATGCGGGCCGCAGTAGAGTTGCGTTCGAAGCAATTGGGAGCCATACTCACAACAACAGGGGAGCATATCCGATGAATGTCATTCCTCTCAATATGTATATGTATTGCTGATATTTTTACAAAACCTCTTGGAAATACATCCATTTTGAAAGAAGTACAAGCAAAGAAAAGTGGTGCAATATTTATGGGACACCATGTACTTTTGAAACGCAATGCAGTAGCTTGCTTCCAGTTAGCGATATTGTGGAGCATCTGAGTCAGGGTTATCCTTCTATTTTATGAAACGCTAACTCGTCCTTCTATTATATAAAACGCTAACGTGGTGTGTCAGTTTGTATGTATGTCGGTATGTATATGTATCACTGCTCTTCATGGCCGCCAGAAATCCAAGTGGCTAAATCCGTCTGATGATATAAGGTGACATCAACCTGTGCTCGCAAAGATGTCTTGAATCGATGCCGACGTTAATGCCGCTGTCAATTTCTGCAATTGCACATGTCCGGCCATTTGAAGGCGAGAGTATTGTCTGTTTTCCGTCTGCCAAAATGAAGTGAGTGAAAACGGAAGCTAGTGGAGTGAACAGCCCGCTAGCAAATCTGGGTAACTCGCAGGACCTGAGCTCTCATCATGTTTCGCAATGGCATGATTGTGATAGCACCCAACAGCTATGTTAACACTAATGGGCCACTTCCGCATTTCCACATGGTGCTCAAGTGAGGCTGCCTGGAGAGACTAGTGGAGGAGGGAAGGGTGTTTAGGTGAAGGGAAGCGAAAATCACAACGGCCTTGGCTGTGAGGCTAGGTTTGTTATAGTCATTCTAAGACGTCAAAGCGTACACAGTAAAGAGGTTCCAGCTGTTGACGGGGGACAAAAAGGATCCTGTAAATTGAGGGTATCAAACTAGCCGAACATCTTGTGACGCCTTTAATAATATTAGATCCGTGAGAAAAAGTTTATTTGCCGTTTTTGGGTTTTTCGTATTTGGAACGCATTTCAAGACGAATCCGGTCATGAGCTGTATGTGCGTTTTGAAAGAGCTTCTTTTGTCTCATCTAAAAGCTGGCTAGCTATGTTCACTTAGCTATTAGCGTTATCTTAGTTTTTTTTGTAGCGTATGAATATACGGCCTACTCAAGAGCACAATTGCATTATTTGCCTTTTCTTCGTACTACAGCAGGCCATATGGAGTCAAATATTATATAATGTACTCCCGCACTTGGCTACTCTG